TTTTTTTAGTATTTAATATATTATGATTGATTTTGAAAAACTAGTTAATTTATTATCAATCATAATATATTAAATACTAAAAAAATAAATAAAATTAAAAATATTATCTTAAATTTACACATATAATAAAATTAATATTTAAATTTATAAACTTAAAATTTAATAATAAAAAAATAAATATAATTTTTAAAATTAAATATTAATTTAAATTGTAAACATTCAAATTAAAAAAAAAAATTATAGAAAACACTTAGAGGGAAAGACAATTTTTGTTCAACTCGTATAATGGAATGTGAATAGAAAAAAGGTTAAAAGGCTAGACATTTCAAAGGGTGGGATAGCTGACCCTAAGATTTAACGCAGCTGCATACACAAGGCAGGATTCGAACCCCTGACTTTGCTTAAACGTAGATCAACCCTTACCGCTGAACCACACGCTTGGGTTCTATTCAAATATTCTTTAATTCTTAGTGATGGTGCACAAATTATTTATTTTGATAAATAATTTTAATTTTTTTTATAATTTAGAATGGCCAAAAAAGCCAACTAATATATGAATAAATAATTAATTAAAATAATAAGAGTATTTGAGTTAGAGTGATTGATGAGATCAAGATTTGGATTCGTGTCGTGAAAAATTGAAAGTGGTAGCAGGTTGTTGAATTGAAATCCAAGTAGAAAGAGAGAAGAAGAAGAAAAAGGAAGGCACAGTTAGGTTTGCGATTGATCGATCAGAATGGGAGATCAAGCGGAGGGAACGGTCCAGAACGTTCTAGAACAGGAGTCGCTGAAGTGGGTCTTCGTGGGCGGCAAGGGCGGCGTGGGCAAAACGACATGCAGCTCAATCCTCTCCATTCTCTTCTCCACCGTTCGCTCCTCCGTCCTCATCATCTCCACCGACCCCGCCCACAACCTCAGCGACGCTTTCCAGCAACGCTTCACCAAAACCCCCACTCTCGTCAACGGCTTCTCCAACCTCTACGCCATGGTAATTTCCGATTTCTTTTTCTTTGCTTTGCTTTCTTCAATTCTTTCTCTTATTATTATTCTTCCCCTTTGCAGGAGGTCGATCCCACCGTTGAACACGAGGATGTGGGCGGCTCCGATGGCATGGACAGTTTGGTCTCCGAGCTCGCCGGTGCCATTCCCGGAATTGACGAGGCCATGAGCTTCGCTGAGATGTTGAAGTAAGAATACTGTTACCGTTCAGTTTTCGTTGTGTTGGAGATCCCACTTGGCCACTCTGATGACTATATTAGTGTTTATAAGTAGGGAACAATCCTCAATTTACAAGTCTGTTAAGGCTCTTAACCCCACTCTTAAGAGGTTGACTTGTTTTTGAGGCATGTGTGTAGTGTTTGTGATGGGATTGGTGGAGTGATTTAGGTTTGAGGTGTGTGAGAGAGGAAGAGTATGGATTGGTGATTGTGTTTAGTCGTTTAGAACTTGCTTGTTATGAGAATTTTGGGAAAGGGGATTTATCAATGGGCACCGCCACACTAATTAACACATTGAAAAAGAAATGGCGAGAAGAGAGAGAAGTCTAGATATGATAGGAGTTGTGATAAACATGCACCCCAAGAAACAATACGGAGATCGAGCAAGAAAGTAAAGGTAGAGAGAGAAAACAATAGATATGACAAATGGTGTTGAAGGGAGATAGGAAGAAAAATGAGGTGGAAGTGGGATAAAGAAAAATTAGATGCAAGTTAAGTATTTTTTTATATGATTGGGGATCTGATGTGAATGTGATAAAAAGCAATTATTGGTGTGAACGGAGTGTATAATATGTGGTATTGCCCATATATCATCATTCTTTTGGAAAACCCTTGTGGAATCAGTCTTTGAGATTTGAATTCTGAAAGTAGGGACACAGATAAAAATAGGAAATTTTGTTGTGTTTAGTTGTCTATTTTTCATGTGAGCTGCACAATTTGTATGGTTTTCTAATTTCTTGCAAGATTCTTGTTATAGGTTTGTCATCTGCCCTCATGGTTGTCTTTTTGATTGCCACCTCTGCCAGTGATGTAGTAAATATCCTGATTTAAGTCATAGTTCTTTTGCTGTTTCTATCACTCAAGGTGGACAAACAAAAGGAAACATGTTAAGATGTTGTGATATTGATTTTCAATTTAATCATTTGTGTAAATTTGTGGAGATTATTTTTCAGAGTGCAGAGAATATTTTGTTAGTTGTTGTATCCTGTTACTAGGAGCCTTTAGACCATCCTTGAGGTTTTACTTGGGATATTATATGTAAAGCACATAGGTTTTGATGAGTGTCAATTTCATATTTCCACACCCAAGTCATCATTGTGGACGGCCTGATGGTGTTGTTGTCGACATTGGTATGCAGTGGTGGGATGGCAAACAATCTTTTCACATCTTATTCAAAATTGATTCAAATGGAAAATTAGAATGCAAATTTAGATCTCACATGAAATAGTGTAGTTAAAAATATTCCTATTATTGGTTTCTGAGAAATCTTCCTAAAATCCTGTCTAGCAAGTAGCAAGTTCCCACAGCTGCATAAGTAAAAAGTAAAACTACAGCATTATGTAGCCATATGGTTTATGAGAGGGCACTGTTCCCATCACGTGTATGCTAAGCAAATATATAAACTTCTAACTTCTGAGGGTGACTATTAATTTTATACAAGAAAATGGTGAATCTTTTTTATTTTAAAACAGCATACGTCTAAGTAAAGGATAGTTCCAGATGAATCAGTATGTGGCAATCTCAAAATCTAAAGATGAATGCATAATTTGTATCAATACTAAGCTATGTGGATTTTTATTTTCATTATTTATTGATTTGCACAACACTCTTAACCATGTTTGGTTCATCATGAAATATGTTAGTCAAGTATGTGTGGTGCTCCCATTTCTTTCTTTTTCATTCAAATGTCACGTTTCAACTTAATTTTTTCTTCTGTTCAGTGTGTGTTTTGATCTATAATAATTTTGCAGATTGGTGCAGACAATGGATTATTCTGTTATTGTATTTGATACTGCTCCCACTGGCCATACACTTAGACTGTTGCAATTCCCATCGGTTTTAGAAAAGGGTCTTGCAAAAATGATGTCTTTGAAAAATAAATTTGGTGGCTTGTTTAATCAGGTACAAACTTAAGAAGGAATTTTTCCTCATCACATGATATTTTCTTTCTAGTTTAATGTTGACTAGTCTCAGTTTCAGTTTTTAGACTGTGATCTTCAATTTTTTTTATTTTTTTAATTTCAATGTACACTATTCCCTCGTTGTGGAACTGTGATCAGTGCAATATAACATCATTTGTTAACATCTATAGAAGACTTATTTAATATCAAGATCTTAATCTTCAATTACATTCCCACGTTTTTTATTAGATGGTTCTCTGGCCAGTAGATCCAAGTATAGAAACAGATCCACATTTCATTTGGAGATCTTACTGTTTCAGTTTCAACTTCGTGCAATATTCTCATATTCTCTCTTCTTTCATTTCACACACTTTTCCTGTAACTAGCCAAAAAATTTCTCTCTTAAGCATCTGAAAGACTCAAAGTATCATTTTTTTTATATTCTTTTTATATGTATACTTGATCTTCATAATCAGCCATCTCTTTCAATTTTCTCTTGTTTGTCTCTCTATCTCTAGATTGAATTTCAATATTTTATAAAAAACATTGTCAATAGTTAAGAATAATCTTGTCTCACAATATAAATAGTTTATTGTTAATCTAAAATATAAATTTTCATTTTAAAGTATATTTGTTTTTGAATTTTAATTATAATATAATTTATATTTTAAAAAATTGTATAAATAAACATTTATCAGACTAAAATACTAGTTTACATTATTCTTGTAACATAACTATTTTTGTACCTAACTTGGAACAAACTTCCTTGATGATTCATGAGATGATGTGTTTCGTTTCATCAACTATTGTCTAATTGGAAGCCATTTAAACTTTAACCACAGATGACTCGCATGTTTGGAATGGGTGAGGACTTTGGAGATGATGCAATTCTTGGGAGGCTTGAAGGCATGAAGGATGTAATTGAACAAGTTAATAAGCAATTCAAAGATCCAGTAAGTATTACATTTAATTTCTGTTTAGTATTGTTTTAAAAGTGACAATTTCTTGTTTATCCTTCAGTAAATTGTGGCTTATATCTTGCAGATCAATGAATGTAGTTTTTATTTATTCTCTTGATATCCTTAAACTGTAGTTTGTATATTCCTGGTAGAATTTGACCTTTTAATCCTTAGAAGAAACAATGGAGGTTGGGATGTGATGCACCGATTCAATGAGTATCGCATATGATACATATCCGATACAATGGTACGATGATTTTTAAAAATATAAGATACAATACGTTTAAGATACGTATTAAAAAAATTGAAATCAACACTATTTTTAGAGATATATTTGTTAAAATATTAATAAATATAAAATAAAATTAAAAATCTATTATAAAAAAAAGTTGGATTAAGAATATATTTTGTTTTTATTTTTAAACATTACTAAAAATATATTCTTGGTTTGAATTTTTTAATACTGATATATTTTTTAAACAAAATTATTATGGATACGTGTCCAATATGTATCAGATATGATATGGGACAAAAAAGACGTATTGGTGCATTAGAGGATCTATTAGGGGAGAAAATTGAACTGACACATATTGCTAGTAGCATATACACTGTCTTGACATATTATTAATTTAAAGCCCGAATAATATGGATATGTTACTTATAATGAAAATATTATATTTATTGTTCAAACTGACTTTTTTTTCTTTCAATTGTTACATAGTATTAACCTTGAAAAATAAATATAATATATGTGAGAGGACCGTAAAAATTAAGACGACATGAAGCATTCTTCCACTGGTGTTTAGATTTGATCAATTTCAATGGCTAAGCAATGTCCTTCACTGCATGGAAGCAATATTTCCCTATAATTTTGATAAAATGAATGGGCTTACTTTCCTTCACTTGCATTTACAAATTTACAATTACAATTACTATACTCATGCTTGTTGTCTGTCATGTACCACAATTTTCTTTACATGTTCATGAACATGCTTTTATCTGTTTCTAATTTCCATATTAATGCAGTTATGCTCAAGAGGTAGGATAGTGATCTTTTAACATAAATTGTTAGATTAGTCCTAGTCATTTGTTGTATTGTTTATGTTCCCTTTATTTGGTAATTTAGTACGATCAATTAAGATGTATTATTTGTTGTCTTTGAATTTTGTTCCTGTATATTTATGTGATTAATCTTATTTTCTATTGTATTAGTTACCCAAGCCCGGGTACCAATCCCCTTCCTAAAATAAATTGTTGTATTTCTTTATTTACAGGACATGACAACCTTTGTCTGTGTGTGTATTCCCGAATTTCTCTCTCTATACGAAACAGAAAGATTGGTTCAGGAACTTACAAAGTTTGAAATTGACACGCACAATATCATCATCAATCAAGTAATCTTTGATGATGAAGGTAACATCCTAGTCATATCCATGTTATCCTACCTTTTTTTATTTATTATTTTTTTCCATATCATATTATTATCTTATAATCTGTTTACCCTTGTAGATGTTGAATCCAAGTTACTCAAAGCAAGAATGAAAATGCAACAGAAATATTTGGACCAGTTTTACATGCTGTATGATGACTTTAACATTACGAAGCTGCCATTGCTCCCAGAAGAGGTTAGTTGTTATTCTCGATACTCAGCTGATCCATTTTAGTTGCTTTTTTTCATGTTAATTGCTTGTTTGTTTCATTATCCTTTAATTAGCCTGTGCAAATTGATAGGTTACTGGGGTTGAAGCTCTCAGATCATTTTCAAGACATTTTACATCACCATATCAACCCTTATCTAGTACAGTAAACCAAGTAGAACGGTTAGAGCGTAAAGTAGCAGCACTAAAATGCCAGTTACATGATGCGGAAGAAGAATTGGAGAGACTCAAACAGGCTTGATGTTCTCCATTCATCAATTGTATGCCTTTTTGGTTCGTATTATTTTTTAGTTTACATCTGATAAAGCATTTTTTTTCTTTGTTGGGCTGCCAACACTACCCATTCTCTATTTGCTTTTATTTAATTAATGTCACAACGAGCTTTCTTATGTAAACCTCCCCCCAAAAATGCTAAGGTTAGTCCAATTTGTTTCATGAATATTCTTGTAGCCTTCATATTACGAATCGGATAATTTCTTATTGATATTCTTCCTTGTTTTGTTTTATACGTTCCAAGCAAAAAATGCCATGTTAAAATGTTCAATCGTCCATCATGATAAAGCTCATGTTATTAACGCGGTTGATTTTGGTATACAAGTATCTCGAGGAACCAATTAATAAATGTAAAAGGAAAATGTTAAAAGCGTGCGAAAGTGTATTTGTGAAATGTGCACGATGCAGATTTTCGTGAGGAGTTTATTTTATATTTTTGAAAATTATTAAATGTTTATTTTAGAAAAAAGGGGATTGATTCATGTAATGAATTCGTGCAGTAGGTTAGGTTCATATGAAATAGCACTACTACAATTTAAATATGGGTGCGTGGCAGTACCTGTGATGAAACTCTTGCAATTGTGTCAAAAGTAAAACTATGGACCGGATGGAGTAGTGTTTTGAGAGGACGGTGTAAACATTCATAAAACAGCTTTATGGAACATATAACTCTAAAATTAAACCTTGTAGTTTATTGAAATAAAACTGTAAAACATCTGCAAAAAATGGGTAAACAAAGTACCATATAATCCTCAAATAAACATAATAATGAAATATGTTCTCACGCAAAAGGTTATAAAATATAAAACAGTAGAAACATATAAATGTTCTACGCTAGAAAAATGTGAATTACGGATCCGTTAATAATAAATAAAAAAAACTTAACATATCAATATTAAATATTGTTTAAGGGTAGGCATGACAATCTAACCAGTTCCCGTGGGTACCCCTGAACCCGCCCCGATTTGGACGGGGAAAACCCGTGTTTATCGGGTTCGGTTTTCCCCGATTGATAAAATCGGGGGTGGGGGCGGGGATGAGGATGTTAATACCTACCCTGCCTCCGCCCCCACCCGCATACCCGCCCCCGCCCCCGCTCGCTTAATCCGCCGGGAGCGGGGATGAGAACCTAGATTTTATTCCTGGCGGATATCGGGGGCGGGAGTGGGGGCGATTTAAATTTGCGAGAGTGGGGGCGTGTTTTATGTTTCCCGCCCCCGCCCCAGCCCCACCCCGTTGCCATGCCTATTTAAGGGTATGTCAAAGCGTTAAACATAAATATAAATAAATAAAAATATGATTTCGGACTTCGGAGGGATTATAGTTTTGATCAACCTTATTTATTTATCATATAAATTAACATGTTTACCCTTTTGTGATCCCTATAAGATGGCCGGTAGTCATTATACCTATGATTGTGAAACAATTTCTGACAAAATAATTTCTTTTACGATTACTTTGGAACAATGTTGTACCTCAAATTTTAGTAAACTAATTCGATATATGTGTATATTAAAAAATTAAATTAAATAAAAATATATATGATATAAATATAACATTTAGAATAGTCGAAATTCAATGTTAAAATAATAGCTTTGCGTAATAATTTCATGTATGTGTATAAATTAAAATTGATCAAGACTCTCCTTCCAAATCATTCAAACAATTAAATTACTAATATCTGTCTAGAAATAAAAAAAAAAATTATCAATAAAAAGATACAATAACGATAATGAAATTTTTTTTACTGTATTTTTTTCACTAAATCAAAAATTTAAATTCAAAATTTTAAAGTTTTAGAATCAATCATAATATTTAGACCAACAAACGTTCAATAATAAAGATTGAATTATTACATTGATAAATATTTTTATTATGAATAAATTCCAATAACACCAATGAAGATTGAATTGCTAATATTAACATAATAAGTAAGAGGTTAGGAAGCATCGTAATATAGACAAAATTACAACTTTTAGCTTATTATTATACAATAAAAAATCAAACAAGTGAAAAGGATGACTTTACAAATACAAAGTTTTTTGAAACTAAAATTAAAATTAGAAATAGTGACCGTCAGCAGTTGTAGCATCAACGTTGAGATGGCCGAGTTGGTCTAAGGCGCCAGATTAAGGTTCTGGTCCGAAAGGGCGTGGGTTCAAATCCCACTCTCAACAAAATTTTTCATTTTTTCATCTATAATTCTTAATCATTATCGATATATGCCACCTTTTGGTTACGCTGACTTATTAGTTAATATGGGAATTCAATTAAAAGTAAGCTTACTGTACTTATTTACACGTTGCAATTTATTCAATTACAAATAAAAAGAATCTTATAATTTCAGAAAAAAAAAATTACATTTCATTGGAAGAATTATAAAACAATAAAAAAAAGAATAAATATTTCATATTATAACACTAACATTTATACTTTATAACAATATATAAAAGCAATCTAACATTTGAATGTATACATTTTTTATGATATTTTTATCTCTTTAATTATTTTCAAATTTCACTTCCTTATTATAAATCACCTACTATTTTTTAATTATTTTTATTTCTTATTTTTCTTTTATAGAAAGTGGAGACAACCATAAAGAATTGTGAAAAAAAAAGTAAGATTAATTCCAATAATTTATTTATTTTATTTTTAAATACATAGAGGTACAAAATGTTAATTTTATGCTAATAATAACAAAAAGGATGTCCACAATTTTTATATATATTTTAATTTTAGGATCTGTTTGAAAGAGTTAATAAATAACTTATTTATATTTATCTTATTTTATAAGTGTTTATAATAGTATTTAGATAAATTATAAAATATTTATGAATAACTCATAAGATATTTTAAACTTATTTTGATAAATTATTTAATATAACTTATTACTTAGCTTATGTGATAATTTATACTCCAATTCGAATTGTGTCCATGACCTAATGACATGGATAATTTTTATTTTTATTTTTTCATTCTTTTACAAAAAAAAATGTTTTAATATTTTGTTATTACTCACTACAAAATTTTTATTACTCTCTCTAAAAGGCTTTTGTTTCTTTTTATTTTTCTCTCCTCTCCAATTTTTTTCCTATCTCTTCCTAAATATTAAAACAATAAAAATTGTCATTCAAGAATTATAATTTTCTCTTTTTCTCACAAAAGCACGTGTCCTTTTTCCTTACTAATGTATAATAAAATCGTTAAAATACCTAATAATTACATTAAAAGTTAAAAATAATTTTTGATTAATAAGTAGGATAAATAATTTTTCAACTCTTATTTCAAATATTTTATTCAGTTACAAGCATTGTAGAATTGTCCAAAAAATAACATATTGTATAATTTCAAACATTTCATTTTGCCAGCTATGGTTGGAAGTAGGCATAAGCGTAATTCTTCGATCCGACCGAAACCGAAGCTATCTGCGTGCAATTTTTCACTTCTAACGTTAATTTTGAATTTTCGAGATTCCAAATTGATTGATTCAATTGGAAATGGGTTTTGTCGATCGAGTTTGGGTTAAAATATTTGAACCGTCAATATCCAAACCCCGACACATAACAATTAAAATTTAAAAGGTATGTCATTGAATTATTTTTTATAGTTGTAGAAATTAGAAACCCTAGTGTCGCAAATGCAACTAGTTTCGTGAGAGTAGTCGTATCGTATGAACCCAAACACAGTTCATTTTTCTCCATCTACCATCGCATAATCGTTTGCTCCTCTCTGCCTACTACCACGAAGACGATCTGCTTGTCTCCTTCTAACACCACGAAGAACAGGTTTGTTCGTCTTCTTCTTCTCTTACATCATTATTAAATCTTCAATAGTTCAGATGACATTTTTGTTTGCACCAATTAAACCGACCCAACTAAATTAAGACCCGACCAACCCAAACCCGAAACACTATACCAGTTAAAAATGGATTGATTTTTTTTTTTTGTCAGTTTGAGCTGGACTAAATATTTTTGACCTAAACACGTCCGAACCCACCCCGTACTCGGCCTAGTTTGAAGCTCGAAATCTTTAAATAAAAATTCGTGAAGGCTAATTCAAGTAACTCAAGTTACGACTTTCCTATAATTTTTGTTATGCATTGGCAAAACTCGAAATGAAATATAGCTACTTCTGTGTTGATTATTTTCCATGATTTCATCATGATTCATGCTACTTCATAATATCCTTATTACAAAACACATTTAGAAGAAAAAAAAACTTTTTTAGAAGACATTTTATTATTAAAAAATATTTTTTTTATTTTTATTTTTTTATCTTCTATTAAAGATTGTGAATAAATATATTTTTTATTAAATAATAAAAATAACTTAGAAATATATACTTTTTCTCACCGCTTAAATTTTCTAATTATAATTTATTAATTTTATTGGTACTTTGAGTAAAAACAATATCTTCCTCTCACATTACAACTTAATGATAAATAAAAAAGGATAAAAGTATATAATTATTTTATAAAACCGATAAAATCAATTGAATTAACTACTTATATTTACAAGTCTAATTATGATATAAGTTTGTTATAATAAAAATCAAGATGTAAAAAAAAATCCAAATCAATTCATAATCAATCTGAACAATATTAAAAAATTTAATCTAATCCACTTTGTAAAAAAAAATAATTGATTCGGTTCAATTTAACTTTTTAAAAATTCAATCTATCCATTAGTATAAAGTGAATAACTGCATCACACAAAAATCTTTAAGAAATTTGATCCATATTTTTAAAAAATCAAATTGATCCATTTTATAAAAAATAAAATAAAATCAATTTATCAATCTATTTTTATAAAATTGATCAATCCAATTCGATTTAAAATTTTCAAAAATTTGACCCATAAAAACTCCTACCAAGACTAACAAACTCCATAGCTAGCATGAGCCTTGGTGAATTATGAGCCTTATGTAGAAGGGACACTTGCAGGAAGAGATGGGAGTATTTTAAGAACCTCATACAGTTGCTATACTTGTATAAATAGACACATACCTATTAGAGGGGTTTAGAATACAATATATTAGATCCCAACTTTAAAAATGAAATTGACTCTAAGCTTTAAGCAAGTTGGGTGATTAAAAATTGTGTAAAACCCCTATATTTCTAAACAATAATCCACTAAAAATGTCAACTCGTTAACATGTGAGCTATGATGCACCGATACGATACGCGTATCGGATACGACACGTATCCGATACGGTGATACGATTATTTAAAAATATATAGGATACGACACTTGTAAGATACGTGTTCATCAAGGACCAATAGTTTTATGTTTCTATATTAAACATGTTTAAATATCTTATTTAGCCGTAATGGATATTTCATAATTTTTCAAAAATTTGAACACTTTATTGATATATATCACTAATAAGTATCGGTGAAGTATATGAAAGTATCAAAATTGAATAAAATTTTTATAATATTTTTAAAGGCTAGGATACTTCATTGACACGTATCGGTGAAGTATCCAAGAGTATCGTGTCGGATACGTATCGGATACGGATACGTGAAGCAAATTGAAGTATCCGTGCTTCATAGCATGTGGGTATAACTATAAGATAGTTACAAGTGTATGGTTTAAGGAAATATACTTTCTTTCACATTTATTTCTATTTGCACCATTTCATTGAAAAGCAACAAAAAGCATGGTAATACCTTTGCAATTATTAGTAAAAACAAAACAAAGAAAAAACCCTTAAAGCAATTATATCATGACAATATTTATCACACTGATATTCTTGGAGCTAATAATTTGTGTTGTGTTAAGGTCAAAGATTCTTAACTCATTAGTGAAGCAAATCATGGATTAGACCTTGCAGAGTAGGTTACATTGTTAATGTCAGACAAGTTTCACATCCTTGCCAAAAACTGTAAAGTGTAATACCGAAATTTGATTTCAGTGAAAGTAAAGACTGAACAACATTTTGCATACTAGGCTATGTAAGTTGATTCATCCATTTGATAGCCAAAATTTTCGATTATCATGGTTCACTAATGACCTCAACAACTGCGTTTTGTAAGTGATAATAATTACTTCATTAAGCATTCGATTACCTATACCCTAACCACCATGCAGGGTTGATATAAAAACCACCACATCTTTCTCTTCCAGTGATGTATTCAGCTGACCACTTAGCTCCCAATCACAATCATTCACTAGGACAAGAACTCCAGGTCTCCTGCACAACAAATCACAACAAAATTATTAACATAGTGCAGCACCATAATAATACACATGCAGATGGAAGATTTTAATTGTAGTGAAATATGTCTTAATGTTGTGAGGTGTATATTTATAATTGAATCAAATATGTTTTAGTCCCTGAACTTTTGTCAATTTGTTTTTATTTCCTGAACAATTTTTTTTACTAAGTTAAGTACCTAAACTTTTGCTGATTTTTACTTTTAGTCCCTAAACTTTTTCTTCCATTAACATTTTGGTTCTTGGCATCAAAACTTTTTGTTCATGGAGAAATATTTCAGGGACTGAAACCAAATAAAGTTTGTTCAAGGACTAAAAACAATAACTGACAAAAGTTCAAAGGCTAAAAACACAGTTAATCATTTATAATTTACATATTAGGGTACACGTACAACAAAACCAGTGATAAATACATAAGAAGAAATAAAATCCTAAATTTCCCATCCATAAAAATAGTTAAGTATGCTATCTATCATTAATTATAGTTAAATCTTAAATTAGCTAAAGCATAAATACTGCCTTTTCCTCATGTCCACTGAAAAACAAAACCTGTTATGTGCGTTAATGAGGAAACTGACTAATTACTACCAAGGAAAAGGCTCCTCTAAATAAAGTTGTCTTTAAAGTGAGCAAGAGTGTATCCACATTAAATCATTTAGAGTTTGTTTTGATACAAATTTGAAGTGTTTTTGAATCTTTCATAGCTTCTCCACTGAAAAAAAAAAAAAAAAAAAAAAAAAAAAAAAAAAACCTCTTAAAAGCTCTTTTAAGCTTGAACTCAAACAGGTTCTTCATAGGTTAAGACTTAAGATTCAGTTTCGTCTCAGATAGTCAGATTAAATTAACAGCAACATACGCTTGATAAACAAGCTAACTTTAGAAAATATCCTTGCTATTACCAATGATGTATTAAAATGTATTTAGATTATCAAACTTACACAGTATCTCCTTTCATGAACATTTCAGGCCTCTCCTTAATCAAGTTGGTTCGAATCCAAGAAAGCAAATCTTTCATGCTTAACTGAGAAAGCATGAAGAAAATTTTCTTAGAATGTCAAGCAGGAAGAATATCCCTTAAATATCATAGTACAATAATATTTGAAATTATATGGTACCTTGTCTTCTCCATTGTGTTGCTCAATATTGACATTGTGAATCTTCTTAGAGTCACAAAGAAGTTCCAATCCCCCCCTGTATGTTTTAGCCATTTTAACAAATCACACAAAAAATTAAGATTCCAACCTTAGATATATGATAACTAGATAAGAAAACAGCAACAGGCACAAAATAAGTAGTGCTGAATAAATGTAATCCAAATACTAAAATATATAATGAACAGAATCAAAGAACAATCTCAAGGAATAAAACGAAACCAGATAACATGAGAGACCAAGTAAATATGATAAACAAACATTCAAATTCTCAGCTATATAAGATACTCAAAAAAGTAATCATCAAAAAAAAAAATCAGTTTTATAAATCTCGGAGAAAAGCGTCACCCCCTTAAAACACAGAATAACAAAAGCCCAACCCCGAAGAAACAAAAACAACAGTCTCCCAATTTAAAAAACTCTTTTTTAATGAAAAAATAAAAATTAAAACTTTATTAAGAAACATAACAAGCAGTGACTTTCGACGGATAAACATCGACTTACCCGAATTCAAGTGTCAGCTGCATACTTAACAACGTTTCCTCGGAACCCCCAAAACCGTGGAGAGAGAAGCACAACCTCTTCAAACTTAAAAACCCTCAATTTGTATTCCTACGCAACTCAAACACCAATATATATACCACAAACTCTTAACCGCACGATCAAAAGATCACCACCGAATCTTAGCGGTTCATTCTTTTAAGTGTAAAACACTCTCATCGCACGGTGTACGAGATAGAAAAGTGTACAAATCAACGGTTACGATCAGATCGTTCAATTCACCGAAATATGACACGTGACTATATCCCCCTATGGGTCATCATTATTGAAAAAATGAAAAAAATTGAAACTCGTCTTTAATTCACGCAATTGTGTGGAAAGTTTACATCTTGACCTATTGGGTCGCGGCCAATCCCTTCAGATTTTGCAAGCGAGGGTTGGATTTCGTGTTTTTTTGTAGAATTCGTAGAGTTTCAGAAGCTATGGAGGCTTATAAGGGATGGGTGAGACAGAACAAAGAGTTTGTGCACTCCTTGGAGTCTTTGGCCAATGTAAGGTTACGTTTTGGGTTAACAATTTGGCAATATTGTTTTTGTTGAATTTAATTAAATGTAATCGTTCTGCTGCTACTATTTTATCAGCCAAAGTGAATTTGTGAGTTAGGTCATGCTTTTGTGTTGTTACTACTCACTATTGTAACGTTTACAACTGCCAAGGAGTACCCAAATTCTTTGAAGAAATGGTGATTTTGATGTGAATTTTGTGGGTTTATAATTTGGCTATTGTTGCATTAGGTTGTATCCTTTTATGCCTTTTTCACTCATGATCATGATTTGGCTGTTTTCTTTGTAAAATCTAACGATTTGGGATTTTGTAACTTTTTCATGAAAATATATTTAGTGAAAATGATGTTAGAAAATAAATTAAACAGACGGTTTTGCTGTGATTGTTGCTTTCCGTTTGTTCAAGTCTATGGAGGCATTGTGTTGAAGCTTAGTTTGTTATAGTGCTTGCCAACAGTTATTTATTGAGGTTGAAAATGTGGACAGGGATTGACATGGCTTCTTCCTGAACGGTTTTCTGAATCAGAGATTGGACCTGAAGCAGGTTTTGTGGATTTTTTTTTATAACTTTTGGCTACTTCTTTTGAGTTTCATTGATAATTTTTTTGTTCGTGACCATTCTTGCCTAGATCAAAAATTGGTTGGAGGACACCCTCGACCCTACAAATTTTTTTGAGTGACAATAATTTACCAACTTTGTCGATGATTAATTCTTGTTGAGGATCTTGGCTGACCACTTCTAGTAGACTATTCTTTTCCTAACATATTTTTTCTTTCTACGAGACTCGAATATGATATTTTGTTTAAGTGAGGCGAGTCCAATTCCATTTGAACTAATGACTTGTTGGTGGACTTCCACCTATTTGACACCTAGCAAGAGAAAGAGAGAAAAGAAAGAGAAGTGTAGATATGATAGGTAATATGATGTGATAGGAAGAGAGAAATGATGAGTGTTAATGCGGTGTTTGTAGTAAAGAGTGATTCATGTATCAGTATCATTACTTTCCCAAAATAAAAGCTTCAATTCTATCTCGAATCACTTGTTCATGTTGACCTTGAAAATGCGAAATAGCTAATAAAAATAAATTTACTTTGCAGAGCCATGGTTCCTGTTGCAAAGTTCAAAAGTCATGTTACATTCTTTTAGTTTACCTATATTTTCTTTAAAATTTAACCACTACTAATAGCCTTCTCTATTTTCTAATTATTTTTCTCCTACTATATTTCACTAGAATACGAAATTGGTACCTTATGGATAAGATCTATGATTTCTTGCAGTAACAACCCTTCTGGGAATTATCACAGCTGTGAATGAACATATAATTGATACAGCTCCTAAGGAAAATATTACAGGCTCATCAGAGCCTTATTCATTTCCTTATCCATTATGCTTATCTGCATTAAAGGATTTGGAAACATTAGTTGAAGTTGTGGCACAACATTATTATGGTGATGATAAGAAATGGAATTTCCTTGCCGTTACTGAAGCAACCAAGTAAGAAGAATAATGTAATTTAGCATATAGCCCTTCCTAATATCCTCAGTCTGTCATTATATTTACGTATGTGTAGTCATCAATCCGTTTTTCTTATTATCTTTAATCACTCTAAATCAGGGTACTAGTTCGGTTATCTTTGTTTCGGAAAAGTGGATATAAGATGCTGCTACAAGGAGGAGAAACACCTAATGATGAGGGGCATTCAGATAGATCTGGTGATATGAAAAACAATCTTGGTGCAAACCCTATGAATTTGGAAGGAAGAGCGCTATCTGCTTTAGTTAGATTTGGAGAAAAAGCCAAGGTGTCAGATTCTGCATGGTTACGCAGGGTTCAACACCAACAAACAACTATGGAACCTTCATGTAACCTGTTTTAAAGACATTTTTTTACGATTAGATAGCAGTGTAATTGATTGCAATGCATGACATATTCGACTAATATTTTTTTGTCCCCTGCATTTTTACAGCTTCAAAGGTAGATAGACCAACACTTCTCACCTTATTGTCTGAAAAGGGTCTTCGAGGGGTGCTGTTTTTGATTGGAGAAGTTCTATTTATTAGTAGACCACTTATTTATGTTTTATTTATTCGAAAATATGGTATTCGATCATGGACCCCTTGGTTCCTTTCACTGGCTATTGATTGTGTGGGAAACAGTATTCTTTCACTTGTTACAACATCAGTGGTTGGTGGGAAGGAGCAAATGTTTCATTTGTCTGCCCCTGAAAAGGATGAGGTTTGTGTTTCTTTGGACTTAAGAGGCATATACACAAGATGCACTGTCTTGGGCGTGTTTAAATAAACTTTTTCAAAAGTACTTATAAAGGAATAAAATAAGAAGGAAAAATGAAATTAACTTTCTCGTAAACTAAATTAATTTATGCATAAGGTAATTTATAAAAATTTTGTCATATTAACTTTTCTATAAACTTATTTTTAATTTATGTATAAATTAATTTTAACTTATGAAGAAGTTAATTTTTTTTTTTATAGAGAATAGATAATCAGAAACAATAAAGTGTCAATCACCTAATACAAAATAAACATACTATTAAAAAATTATTACTAATAATAATGCTCATACTTTCAACATGCTCAATAAATGTTTTGGGTGGTAATCTTTTTGTTGAAGGATCAGTTATCATAAAATTTGCGCTAATATGTTTTGTTGACACTATTTTTAAACTTCTTCCTTCACAGCAAGATACTTCAGCACCATATACTTAGCACCCTTAGGGTACTTTTATTTCCTAGAGAAAAACACCACTCTAGAAGTGCTTTTGAGAAGGTTTATCCAAATAGACCTTTAATGTCTTTTGAATTGAATTTTTGCTGTTAAAACTGCATTCAAAACTGTCTTGTTTCCTAGTCATGCTCAACTCTAATGCTGAAATAGTTTTGCTTCAGGTTAAACGGCGGAAGCTGCTATTTGTTCTTTACCTAATGAGAGATCCATTTTTCAGCAAGTATACTAGGTAACAATGATTTTATATTTTGTTCTCAATTTGTTTTTTCTTTCTTTCACATTTTTAACGCTTTACATTTGACAACACGCTACTTTCAAGTTGGAAAAAACATGACTAAAATGTCTTATGATGTTTCAGGCAAAGACTTGAAAGCACTGAGAAAGTTTTGGAGCCCATACCTATCATAGGATTTCTCACAGGTGTGCTTCATACTTATTTGTATCCATTGTTTCCCTTCGGTTTAATTACCCTCCCCTTAGTTTCATCAACTTTACATTTTAGGCCTTAATGTTAAAAGTGTTCCATTTTAGTCTCTATATACCATTTTTGTTCCTTTTTAGTCCCTGACATCTATTTTTACAGGGACCAAAAGGTAAAGTTGATGATGAAACTATAAAGACTAAAAGGAAACAAAAACGGTGTGTATAAAGATAAAAAAGGAATATTTTTTGTTATTTGGACTAAAAGGTATAGTTGATGAAATTATATAAGGACTAAAAGAGTAATTAAACCTTTCCTTTTTAGCACCTTACGTTCTTGTAGTCATCATTTCGGCTAGGTATAATACTTTGAGCATCTGATCTGTTTTTCTAATGTATGTTACAGCAAAACTTGTTGAGCTTATGATTGGAGCTCAAACACGATACACTTACATGTCAGGATCATGATATAAAATCCAGAAGAAACGCCTAATTACCCTCCAAGATCGTGAGAAGGTTGATATCCTTACTCCTCTGCCACACTATATCATGTTCCAGATTTTTCACACGATGAAGAGATGTCAAATCCACTCTTATGATTGAAAAGTAACAAACCATGCAAGCTTGAACATTTCTTTTGCGCAACAATCCCAGACGTAGAAAATGTTTGGAAGGATGGTTACACTATCAAGAACTGAGTATAAATTGGAACATTTCTTTGGGAGATTTTGTTCTACTCCTATACACAATAAAGGTGGGTGAGATTACCCTTGTGGTTATGAGCATCATCTGGCAAGTTACTCTCTGATTCTTGAACTCAAAAGTATAATTAGTTCAAACTTGTTAAGTTTTAAGCTTATCTTCCATCAACATCCATTTGTGGACTATGTTGAATTATGCATTTTTATCTCAAAAGGTAAATGAAGAACCATCTGAGGCAGTGATGCTGTCGATGTTGTGTATTTTTCTATATCAGCTTGAGCTTGTAATACCTGTGCACGAAAATTACATATATTATACTTCAGCGTTACTGTAAACTACTCAATATCTTTGTATTGTTGCAGTTGTTTGGTAAGCAAGGAGATTTTTAATTAGTGTTCGCTTGGCAATATGAAATCACAATTGCATATCAAAATTTGGAATTATAACTATGAGGCTTAAATTTTGTTTTAGAATTAAGATGACAATTTTAAGGTTTTGTTTCATGAAATTCTAATATGACTAGAAGTAACATTTCCTGTTAACATTTACTATTTAAATTATAATTCCTAACCCTATATCTTTTTGCTATGAATTAATATTTCGTGTTAACATTTACTATTTAAATTATAATTCCTAACCCTATATCCTCATGCTATGAATTAACATTTCCTGTTAACATTTACTATTTAAATTATAATTCCTAACCCTATATTCTCATGCTATGAATTACTTTCAAATTATGTTGCATTTATTATTGTTGTTCCCATTGTCACACTTGTTATTGTCATCGTTATTATTATTATTGTTATTTTTATATTTTTGTTTTCACTTCTGCTACAAACTTTATTTTCTTTTTCTATTGTAATCACTACTAACAATTATTGTTGTAGTAGCCACCACTATTATTAACAAAATGTAACCATTGTCATCAATATCACATGGACACCACCTTCTCACGCCCACTAATACCATCAATGTCACATGCATATTTTTTTCACTTAAACTTAATGAAATATTGTCCATAATTATCCCTAATTAGGAGTAAAAATAGAATTTCAGCAAAAATAGAATTAAAATTCTATTTAGAATTACAATTTTACACTTTGCTTTTTTACGACCAAACATAATAATTGTGATCCAAAACCAATTCTAATTTTGACAAGATTGGAATTGGAATCACAATTTAATACTATAATTCCAATTTTGTGCAGCGAATGGATCCTTATGGTACATTTGAAAGTGAGGAAGAAAATAGAGGAGAAAATTGATTTTTTTTTTTAGTTTAAAATTTCCTTTCCGTACTTAATTTTTTTTTTCTTCAATTGAAATTTTAAATATTTCTATTCTCTCTCTCTTTTTCTCCCTCTATGATCCAAACTTAGAGATATGTTACTAATATACACTCACTTATTAGCACTTTTAATTTGATGCACGATTATTAATCTTTCGAGATTTACTAAATTATGAATTCATTCCTTATTTAGTAGGATTATATGAATTTCAGTCGTAATAAAAAAAATAATTAAAAATAACGAGTTGTTGATATTTTTCTTTAAACTATGGCCATGACAATGAACAAGATTAAGACTTAAGTATCATAGTATTTCTTAAATGGACCAATTCAAATTGGACTGCGATTAAATGGACCGGTCCATATGTGCCTACATTTGTTGTTTGTGTTGCATTCCATTGGTGGGTTAACCCAAAATGAAATTTCTTGTCAAAACTTTCAATGGCTAAGAAAAATTTTAAAATATGTATTTTTTATGTGGCCGAATGAGTTGACCAGTAATGTTACAAAACAAATTTGTTTAACTTATAAATCTACAATTAAAGGACCTAAATTCTACGTGATTCAAAGCAAAAGTCATGGCTACATAACTAGTTCCACTAATCATGATTCATGATACATATGCCCACCACTACTTGAACACATATTGATATGGGTGTCAACTTCCATGCTTGTTTCAATTAGTATCTATACATTTAAGCATTGTATCATTATTTTATTTTAATTAAATAGAATATGCTTTCTTTCAATTTGTATTCTTTATTCCAAACCGGTAGCTCAAAGTCACAATTTTAATGTTAAAATTAATAATTGAATGGTACTAATTAATAGTGTAACACTTTATTAAAAAATATTCGAAGATCCTTCAAACCTCACTTGTATAAAATATTTAATAAGTATGTTATTAATCTCGCAGTCACACCATACTCATTTGATAGGTGAAATTCTCAGTTATTGTGAGTAATTTTGATGGATATTCATTAAAACTAGGACCAATTACCATCCTTATTTAATTATTTTACCAAACTAAAATGTCAAAGATAACATGCATTTTTAATTATGCATTTAAGGTAACATTAAATCTAAGATATTAATGTATCCGTGTCACGAATTTAATTTTTCTAAACTAGGGTCCACTCTTAAAAGAAGAAAATACATATTCATAGTTATTGAATGAAAAATTAACGAGAGACTTTTTACAGCTACAACTTCACACGCGCGCGCGTATAACACATAGTATCACAAATCACAATCTAACAGAATTTAAATTAACAGCTACAACTTCATATTTTCTTTTACTTTTAACATTATTAATTTAGACACAAATAATAAATAAAAAACCAATTTAGATGAGTCAAGTCTTATATATTTTATATTTACCGAGATAAAGGCATGGAATTTAATAATAATTCATCCATCATTCATCTGGGTTTAAAACAATGTATTACTGTTTAAGAAGATTAAATAAAGGCAGACAAAACAAGATTCAACTTGGAAAAAGTAGTTGGATGAAAAGAAGAAAGAACGAAAAATTTTCTTCGCTACCTAATCTTAAAAAGCAAACTACTATTTAGATTTTTTTTAAAAAAATATGCCGTATTATTATATTGGTCTATAAATTTAAGAAAATTTTAACATTATTCAAATTTCTAATTATTTCATATAAACTCTTAAATTTAATTACTTATTTTAATTTTTAAAATACATTAATATTATCTCGTAAATCATATATTTAATGGCAGATCATAAAAAAGATATTAGTTAAAACAGAAAAAATAAATAGATTTTTTTTTGTTCGTCCCTGGAGTATCCAAGGCCGATAGTAGTGACTAATCTTCTCGTTACATTGGAGACACCTCAAAGGGTAGGATAGCAAGTCCCAAGATTTAACGCGACTGCATACACAAGACAAGATTCGAACTCCCTGATCTTGCTTAAGCATAGATCAACCCCCTACCGCTGAACAACACGTTTGGAGTTAGAAAAAAATAAAATAAATAAATAGATAATATTTACACTCAGAAATTTTTTTATAAATTTTATAATATATGTAATTTTAGGAGTGCCTTTTGTGTAATTATCTCGGTTTTGATATGTGTGTTTAATGATGAGAATGAGAAAAATTAATAGAATAAATTAGTAAAATTAATATCATTTTCTCTTTTTATTTTTTATAAATTTTTTTTTATCTTTATTCAAAAAAATGTTTTGGAGATAACACCTATTTTTTTACGGGGCAAAAACGACTTATTAAATATAACTAAGTTAAAAAAAAATTCTAGGGAGGCATTTGCCTCCACACACCTATATATATTTAGATTTGTTGTTGTATACATTTATTTAAATTTTGAACTAATGTGATTGGTAGGTTGTACTTTTATAAACTTGTTAAAAAAATTGATTTATAACACCATGCACTTTCAAATATTAAACAGTCGTTTACTTTAATTTTACTATTTGTATTTTTTACTTTATTGATAATTTTTTCTAGAATGCTCAAACCTAAAATCTTGAAAATTTTGAACTCCATTTCACTCTGATGAATGTAATATTGGTATATACCAATGTGATATTGTTAAATAAGTATGTATATAATCAATTAAAAATTCAAGTTAATAGTTCTAATAAGATTTTTTATCTAATATATTTTAGAATATAATTATTTGTGTGTTATAGATCAAAATAGTATCATCAATAAAGTTCGGTTTAAATAAATGGATTTTTACACAAGCTGACCCAGGGTGTATACAAGTACTTTATCGTAAAAGATAAAACTATCTTCAATGATAAATACATTTGGAAAAGGATTAATGCGTTGCCCCAAATAAAATAAAACCTTAACATGCATAAAAAAAATTACTGAAATTGTATTGATGCTAGAAAAATTACTCATTTCATGCTGTCATGCCCATTCATCTCTCACCAACAAGCATCGTGAAGGGGCCCCATAAGCTAACCCCATTCTCATCCAATGGAATAGTTCTTCCCACCATTCACAATAAATAAACACTATCTACATTCACCCAAAAAAAGAATCAAAAACTAAACGAAACAATTACGTCATTAGGAGTAGGCAAAAGTTGGTAGGATAATAAAGAATAAACAAATCATGAGGGGGGAAAAATGAACACTTTGTGCAAGAGAGAGAGAGAGAGGGGGGGGAGTACCCTACACCATGAGTTGCAAGAAATAGGGACCCACCTCCATAGGTCCCCCATCCAGAAGCTAGCAGAGAAGGGATACTTTACTTTTCTTTTTTTATCATCAAATGTTAATATTAGTTAATATGTTAATAGGAGATTCAAACACTCATCCTCTTCATCAAGCATTAACACATTATCATGGAGACAAATTATTTAGTGAAAATTCATGTTTGAATCTTATTATATGTAAAAATTTGTCAGATTAGCAGCAACCTCAGAGGCTCAGAGTTGTAATCGAGATTAGTTTTTGACATGATAGATGAAGATACACGTGACATGAAAATAATAATATAAATAGAAATAAAAAAAAAGTTTAGAAGTAGGGACCAATTTGAAAAAATGGGGGTTGGTGAATACCGAATTTGCCATTGGGGGTCGGAAGAACCGAAGAAGTGTGTGAGATAATGGTGGGTCCCACAAGGGGCCAGCACTATGGTGGTCCACTTTGGAAGTGAGGCAGGCAACCAATCGAGCAAGGGCATGGCCCTATTTCTTTGGGGGTGGGACCCACGTGAGGAGGGGCAAAAGGGACCGTTGGATTAACGGATGAGTGGGTCCCACGGCGCAGTGTACGGAGGCATAGAGAGTGGGTTTGGAAGATAAAGTGGGCCTCTGTGGCCCATAGTTAGCATCTCAGCGTGCGCACCGGTGCCACCCGTGAGGGCCCCAAACTTCTCTCTTCAACCCTGGCCCCCAAAACCTGCATGCCCAAAAATGGACCCACACATCACTTTCTACAATCATCCATACACTAACTATCACTAAATATTACCATTACACTACTAAAATCTTTAGACTAAAAATTATGTTTTATACAAATATCTTATCTCTATAACAACTTTTACGACCAAGATACCAACGTGAGAGATAGATTAAAAAAAAAACAGTGATATTGTGTGAGTAATACTACTTTGTTATATGAGGGTTGCACTTTTTTTTTATTATGAATATGAATAATCTTGTTTGTTGTATAATTTTTTTAATAATATTTTTTTTATGAATATATATATATATAAACTTTGCAAGTAATGGTTCAATGACAGAGTTTTGTGTGATTTTACTTTCTTTTGTTTTTAGCATTGGATTTTTTTAGCATGGTACTCCTAGGCCCTAGCAGCCATTCTGGCTTGTTTCAACTTTCAAGCGTCTTAATTACCAGCTACTGTGTGCAATATAGAGCGTGATATATAGAGCTTATTTAGATGTAAATTTAAAAATCTTTTTGAAAATATTTTCATTAAAAATAAATAGTACTTTCAAAAACACTTCTATTTATAACACTCTTCTAGCTTATAAGAGTCGTATATAACCCTGAGAATGAGAGTTAATTTGTCAAAATATCGCATAAGAATTGGATTTGGAAGAAAAATAGAAAAGGAAAGAAATCACATGTGAGGTTGGATTTTCCTAAAAGTGAATCAGAGAGTTAGAATTCATTTGTGTGGCTCTTTTCATCACAGTGACGTGGCATGCGTGCTTATTGATTCTTAACTGAGTGAGGAGTCCTTATCACTTTATTTCATCCTTTAACTATTATTAAATACAAATACTATATATTTTTTTTTATTTTCTATTTCGGAATATAGATACTTGGGCTAAGAGTTATATATATATACACTCCTTTAAGTACGGAATTTTCTTAACAACGTTCTTCTTTCACTATTTAGTTCTTCTACAATGACTGATTTTTAGTTAAGAAGAGTTAAAAATAAAAGTTGTAAAGCAAAATAAAAAGACCCCAAAAAATAACTAGATTATAAGAGTTAAAAATATTTTAAGCAAAAATAAAAATTACAAAAATGAAACCTACAATCGCAAATACGCGAAACATTAATTCTCTAGAATTAGAAAACACACACATGCATGCGCAGCACGCGCTCTTGCCATTGACTTTCGAATTTATGGTCTTCCTTATTGGCTTATTGCACGCTCTCTTTCATTTGTTTTTTCTTTTTTCCTTTTTCTTTGTGCTCTTTCACTGAATATAAATTATTTGACAAAATCTTTCTCAGTCCAAAAGTGGATGAACAATATATGCTGTTCTTTCTTACATGCATGATGTCATTTCTCTTTTCTTCATCATCTTAATATCCTACGCAAAACGGAATTGCCCCATCTTCTTCTTCTTCTTCGTATTCTTCCACTTTTCATTTATTTTTACCAAGAATTCTTAGCTTCATTCATATAATCATATTTCACACCAACCCTCGTTTCGGGCCTTTAGGATAAGTATGTGATATAAATTTCATGTTTTAACATAAATAATCTCTACTCTCGTTGGCCATTATTTGCATGATTAATTAATTGCATTCACGCCTTTAAACTAGTGGGTATGGGCAATGCCTTCTTTTAAGACGTTCGTTGGGTACTTGTCTATTCCAAATTAATTTTGAATCACCCTCGCTTTTCTAGTCTCTGCAAACAAAACTATCGTTTATTGACCCTAAGGAGAGACATCTCCTTCTTATACTTTTGTTTTTGTCTTTGTTTTAGCATCCTTTATTTATTTTATAAAAAAACGACAAAAACAAAACTATCGTTTGCATGCAAATATTATTTATTCGAAACAATTCCTGCTTGCGCGGGATCAATTATCTCCTTAATAGAGCTACGATTTTAACTCCCTTCTTCGTAATATATAAATTAAATATATAGCGTTTCAATTTTCACTTACAAAATCATTCACATTGCATGAACTCGAGGTCTCTTCAAAATTATTTATCCAAATATAAAATAACATAAAATATTTATTTTTTAATTCCCTACATGTATCTTCCATTTAGGAATTTGGATAAATTTATCAAAAATAAAAATCTTTTATTATATTTTTTATCTTCTATTTTTCCCTCTTAATTACAAGTATTTATGAAAAAGTTAACCAAACAAATTCAAATATCCTAAATGTAATTCTATTTAATATGTTATTAGACACTAAATGTGACCATGTGGATATTTCTCATACCAAATAATTGAATCTTGGTTCACCGGTGCATTTACTTTAGGTTAAATCTAATAAGATCTGTGTTGATTAGTAACAAAAAATAATGTTAATTTTAAACCCCCATCTCGATGTTATGAGAGAGTAATAATCTCTTTCATTAGACCGATTTAGATGACTAAAGAATCATTTTTGTTATCCTTTAATAGTGCACACCATCATGGACTCATCATGCAAGAATCTTATCAAGTTCATTTCCATTCCATATTCATTTTCTTCTTCCCTTTCTTTTTCATCCCCTCCCTTTAAACTTTTTTTTTTTATTTTAAATTTTGTAGTTGCCAAATAAGTGAATGAATTGACCAAAACTCCCTACCCCAATCTCCAACATGGGCCCCATCACGTGCAATAGTCCTAGTCTCCATGGGTCCATCAAATATCACCGTAGATTTCTTTCCATGGACGGTACCACCACCAAGGGCCCCCCACCCCTATTACCACAAAACAAAACAACCCTTGGCTATATATATATAAATTCACCCTCTCTCTCTCTCACACACAAACACAAACACACTTGCACTTTCATTCTATGCCAACTCAAACACCACCTTCCATCAAACTAAAAAAAAAGTCACTAGTTGTTGTTGTTGTTGTGTCATGGCCGATGAAGCTTCTAGAGACGTTGATCTAAGGCTGGGGGAGCCCAAGGGCCCAAAACAGGAGCCAGACACGGAGGAAGCCTCAGGTTCGGCCATACGTGTGATGCCGGTGGCTGTGCACGTACCGGCGGGGATGTCGAAGGCCCTGGCCCAGGCCCAAACCCAGAAGCGGGCCTCAACCAAGGACCGCCACACTAAAGTAGAAGGCCGAGGCAGGAGGATCCGAATGCCCGCGACGTGCGCGGCGCGGATCTTCCAACTGACCCGAGAGCTGGGCCACAAGTCCGACGGAGAAACCATCCGGTGGCTCCTCGAACACGCGGAGCCGGCCATCATCGCCGCCACGGGCACCGGCACCGTCCCCGCCATCGCCATGTCCGTGAACGGCACGCTCAAGATCCCCACCCCCTCCCCTTCCAACCCCGACCCCGAAGACCCGCCCGAGAGAAAGAAACGCAAACGACCCGCGAATAGCGCCTACGTCGACGTAAACGACGCCGCCGTTTCCCTCTCCGCGGGCCTCGCCACCTCCAATAACCAACACGCAACAACAACGACAACAACGACAACCTCGGTTCCTCAACACAACGTTATTCCGCTGCCGCAAGGCATGGTCCCCGTGTGGGCCATACCTTCAAACGCGGTAGTTCCAACCGCGGGTGCCTTCTTCGTTGTTCCTCAAACGCCGTCGTTTCAGCACCAGCCACAGTTCTTCACCATAGCCAGACCTATCTCCGCTTTCGTCTCTTCCATGGTTACTCCAATTCAACTCCAATCAACCTCAACCTCTTCAACCATCGATAACAGTAACACCTCCTCCACCGCGCCATCTTCCAAATCGCCGGCGAGAGCCGCCGTCATGACTCCGGCCACCGCCTCCGCCACCACTACTACCACTACCGCTACAACAACAACAACAACGCAGATGCTGAGAGATTTTTCTTTGAAAATTTACGACAAGCAAGAGTTGCAGTTCATGTCGCGGGCTTCTTCCAAGCATTGAGCCAAAAGAACCAACGTTGTTGAATCTGGCTGTGGTGTGGTTTCCGCTTCGAACGACGTCGTTACGGGAGAAAAAAGAAGAGCACGTGCGCACGTGAGTTGGATTAAAAATGGTGGGGACCACGTGCGTGTGGGTGTGGGTCAACAAGAAAAGTGGAGGGGTGGTGGGACCCACCGCTTGTGCTGCTCCATGGACTGTACAAATAGAGGAATTATTAGTTTATTACGTTAGATTATTATATCCTCAATCAAATTCTTTGCGATACATAATTGAATTTTTTAAATTAAAAAGATTCAGTTATGCATCCAGTAAATTTTGATTGAGATCATCATCACTTAATAGTTGTGAAACTACACTACTAGTACCAGAAGTTCAGAACTACTTCTACTCACTCTGCAGATTTTTTTTCTTTTCAATTTCTGAGAATAATGTTAATATCATCAGTTATTTAGAATGACATTGATTAGGGTTTTTTTTTATTGATTTTGAGCTAGGGAGGGTGAACCTTTGTAAGTGTGTACTTAAAATCAGTTATAAAAATCTTTCTTATTTTAATCGGTCCATAAATTATTTTAATGTAATCATTAGTTAGATATCATATCAATTCCTAAGCATATAGTTATTTTAGTAATTTTTTTAATTTGAAGTGAATTATCTAAAATGAAAAATAGTGATTTACACAAAAGAAATAAAAATTGTTTTATGTATATTTTCTTTGTTGGTGAGGGTGGGTGGGTCCACGTGATGGGTGGTCATGAGGGTGGTTGTGGGACCCAAAGAGTAGGAGGGTGAGGGCAACAAGTGGACCCTACAGGACCGTTTGTGCACTGTTCTCGAGCCGACCTTTTCAAAGTGGTCCCTTCTGGTGTGAAGAGTCATAAGGACACGTGTCACCCTCTGGCTTGTCAACAGGTGGGGTACCACTTTTTCCTTGGACACGTGGGGGGTTTTGCCTAGGTCCCATGCTGCAAGACCCGAACCACTTTATTGGTTTTGGTTTTCTTGGCCCGAAGAAAACGTGAAGCTAAGATTAAGATAAAGATACAGAAAAAAATGAAAATAAATGGTATGCAAAATCTTATTATATATTTTTTAAGCGTAAGAAGATTTGCTATGGATTGTGTTGTTATGTTATGTATGTTTCTCATTGTTGTAGTGTTTCTTGAAGGTTTTGAGTGCTATTTTCTTGTACCCTTCACAATAAATGAGCACGATCTGTAATGTCTTTTCTTCCATTTAATTTTTATGTTAGACAGTGATATATGTTATGAGGGAATTGAATTGAAGCTCGTATAGTTTTATTTGAGATTATAAGGGTTTCGTCGTATTAAATTTGAGTTGTGAGATGGGATGTGATGTATTTCTAGTTATGGTTTTTTGGGATGTTACTATTTCTTATACTTAGAATCTTTATGTTTCAAATGTCAGCGATGTTCATCAGCTGTTGACATATTCTTGTACTTAAAATTAAAAATTGCTGAGAAACGAGGTTGTTAATTTAGGATTATTTAGTTTCTTTACCTGTGAGAGAAAACAAACAGAAATGTTTCCTTTGTCTTTATAGTGGGAGATAAGTCTAATTTCAATTACTTTTTAGGTAGAGACACAGAAACAAAGAGAATTTTATCTCAAATATTTTCTGAGTTTGGGATATTTAATTAGCAACACATGCAAGGATAAAACATATATTTTCCGCATATTCTATGGTGTACGTATTAATTTAGTTTTATAGATAGAAAGAATCTAAAATATTCATTATTGTGGCAAACTAACACCACGTAAGTGATACATCTTTATTAATAATTTTTTTTTACATGAATTCGTAGAATAAAAGATGATTATTGTTTTCTTTATTAATAAAGCATTGATGACCACGCAATAACAGTTTTATGTAAAAATTGGTTCATATCAATAAAAAATATTATTTTTATTATCCTTAATTAATTCAAAAGAAAAATCAACCAACCAACTAAAAATCTTGTAAAGTTGATTATTGGAATTCTCGTTAAGTAAACTAAGAACTTATATTATTAGATTCCTCTATTTGAACAAAAGTAGAACATTAAATATAGATTTTATTATTATTAAATATACACATACATCGGCCTAATAAAAAAGGTTAAACATCTTAACTCATTCCATTTATGGGTGGATTAATAAGGTAATTTATAAAAAAAATTTAAATTATTTGCATATTTATTTTGAATACATATTTTAAAATATATTTTTTCTTTTCAATATCTAAAGAATTCACATAAATTAGTAAACATAATTAATAAAATAAATTTTAAATTACGACATATTTGTTTTGACTTGTTATTTAATAAATATAGATTAAAAATAAATTAAGTCAAACTAGATTTTAAATATATAAGTTGTACTTGTTTTATAAATTTAAAATTAAGTTTGACATATTATCTATTGTAAGCTTCTTTTATAGATCTGCTATTTAAAAGTATGGCCTAACATATTAATTTATTTTGCATTAACAATGTTAAATAAATCAATTGATTTAATTTTAAATAATCTAAAAATTATATTTTTAAATGAACATGTGAGTTTTTTCTTTTTAAATTTGTATGATAAATTTTTTTTACTCTATTATAATTAAAATTTAGAATTTAAAATAAAAGAAAATAAAAAATAATTGAAAGATAATTTATGCATCCCATATACACTAACGTACATTCATGCACATCTTGTAATGAAAGAAGATAATCTTATTAAATTGTTTTAAAAATATTTTTTATATTTTATTTGAAGTATTTTCAATTATCAAGCATAAAAAAAAAAGAAAAAAGCAACTGAATAAGCAACTTCTAGAGTTTTTATTTTCAATATTTTAATTTCTTACAAATAAAAAATATAAAACATTTAGTGTAGTGAAAATGTAAAAAAAATATTGATAATTTAATATTTTTTATTATAAATTTATTTATTTAATTATATCGATAATATATATATATATTATTTTTATTATACCATATAAATAAATAGGCAGATCAATCAATCTTAATAGACTTTTCTTATTAAACTTAAGTCCAACCTTTTAAATAAATAAATTTTTAAAAAAAAATTATAAACCTAACATTTTTATCAGATAAAAGATTAAATCATAACCTCCTTATTTAAAGTATAGTTTATTCTCATCTTTATTACTATATAAATTTATTTTTTTATTCTCTAAAATTTAAATTTATTATTTTTTGTTTCTAACTATCATTTTAAAGTAAATAAATAACGTTTATTTTAAAAATTTATAAATTTTTTAAAAATATTAAATACAACATAATATCATTTATATTAACATCTAACGTGATTATTTAACTTTTTTTAATAAATAAAAATAGTTAAAAAATAATTACATAAAAAATAAGGATGAAAAAATAATATTTCAATTAAGAAGAATAAAAAATAAAAATAAAAATGGCTACAAAAATTAAAACTTACTAATTTTATAAATAATAATAACATATTTAAGTCTTTTATAATAATTATCCTAAAAAATCATAAATAATATGATTTATACTTAGTAAACAATGATGTATTTTTTTTTGCTAAAATGTATATAAAAGTTGATTATTTTCTTTTAAAAAAATCAACATTTTCATATATTTATTGTTGATATGGGATAATTTAATTTTAATAAATATTCATTTTTTTTTTATTTTTTGAAATGTTGGTGAGAATGATATTTGATTTTTTTTAAAATAAATTAAACTCAATACACATTTAATTTCAGATAAGTAAGATTTAAATGTATACTACATTTTTAATATCTATGTAAATTTCATATGAGTATTACATATTTAAATTTTTTTTCAATAGAGAATCATAATTTCAGCTGTGGTGGCATTTGTTTATTTAATCAATTTGAGTGGGAAAGAGGGTTTGTGCAGTAAGCAACAGATATAAAATAAAAATAACAACAGCAATATGATGAAGAAACTGGGAATTGCCCTCTGATTCACCCACTATAACAATTTTTTTATATTACAAATATCTTAATTAACATTCTGATTATCATCATTCACTAGTAGCTGGCACCCTAACAGGCCAACACCATAGAATTCAATTCCACCTTTCTCTCTCCCAAACCATGATGCCAGAAATGGATGCCTCCTCCGCCAAAGCCCCCCAAAGCTCCGAAATGTTCCAGAAATTCGCTCTCGCTTTCAAAACCAAAACCTTCGAGCTCTTCGCCGACGAAAACCCCTCCCCCCTCGAAGACTCCGACGGCTTCTCCCTCCTCGACTCCGCCGAAGGAATCATCACCGACCAAAAAGTCGTCGTCATCAAACCCGACCCCGACCCCTCCCACAACTACTCCCCCCTGCCGCCGCCTCAGATCGCCCAAACGATGGCGCCGCTAACCGAAGCCCAGATCAGAGAAACCACGCACGCCCTGATCTCCTCGGTCTTCGCTGCCCTGTCCGCGTTCGAAGCTTCCTACTTCCAGCTCCAGAGCGCACACGTGCCGTTCGTGGAAGATCACGTGATCAGCGCGGACAAGGTGTTGGTCTCGCACCTCCAGAGGCTCTCGGAGTTAAAGAAATTCTACTGCAACCCCGAGGGTCGCGGTTTACCGTTTGGGTCGTGTTTGGAGGCTGAGGTGGAAGAGAACCAAAGCAAACTGAGAACCCTCGGCACCGTCTCCAACCGCTTGCAGTGGGAACTGGAGCAGAAGCACGATGAGGTGGTGGCGCTCAGAGCCAAACTCCACGAGATTCGCAGTGGTAACGTGACTTTGACTAAGAAGCTTTGCGCCAACACTTTGAATCTGAACCCCTCTTGTGATGTTCTGTTCACTGTTAAGGTTTTCGATTCCTTGTTGCACGACTCTTCTAGAGTGACGCATAGGTTCACCAAGATTCTGATTGGCTTGATGAGGAAAGCAGGGTGGGATTTGGGTTTAGCGGCCAACGCGGTTCATCCCAATGTCGATTACGCCAAGAAAGGGCACAACCACTATGCACTTTTGTCGTACGTTTGTTTGGGGATGTTTCATGGTTTTGATTCGTTAAATTTCGGACTGGAACAAACGGTGTCGGACAGAAGTGGTTGTTTGAAACAATTGCTGGAGCATGTGTCTAGCAATCCGATGGATTTGCTGGGGATTCACCCGGGTTGCGAATTTTCGCGATTCTGCGAGCACAAGTACGAGAGGCTCATCCATCCTTCGATGGAGTCCTCCATTTTTGTGAATTTGGAGGAGAAAGAGGCGGTGTTGAACTCGTGGAGGTCGTTGAGTATGTTCTATGAGGCATTTGTTGGAATGGCTAGTGCTGTTTGGACACTGCATAAGTTGTCCTATGCGTTTGATCCTGTTGTTGAGATTTTTCAGGTGGAAAGGGGTGTGGAGTTTTCTATGATATACATGGAAGATGTCACAAAGAGATTTACCTGGCCGCACAAGGGGAGGGCAAAGGTGGGGTTCACCGTGCTTCCTGGTTTCAGAATTGGGAGGGTAGTTATTCAATCGCAGGTTTATATAAGCAATTTCAGATGTACATAGTAGTGTAACCAGCGTTCCTCTTCAGATGAGACTAGTACTA